AGGCGGACTACTTAAATTAGGTACCAAAAGTACACGTGTGGCTAGTTGTATCCTTGTGAAATTGATGTAATATCGTAATTACCTAAATAAAGCTAAGTGCCAAGGATCTAAGTGGTCACCTTAATATTTAAAAAAAAATATATATATATAAATATATATCTAAATAATGTATTTTTTGATGCTAAAAAAGTTTATTTAGAGATGGGTGTGGTGATTTAGTGAAGTGGTGGAGTTGTTACACTTTTAGGCAGCAGGTTTAGAGTTCAAATCCCACAGACAACGATTTTGAAAATACTAGATCTGTATTGGTTAATGTTAAGATTATCAGATAGATCCAGATAGCTATAATCTTGGTCACACTATCTTGAATGGGAGCTTTGACGCAATAAATCTAGAAAACCAGAATTACCAAAAACCCATTTGGCAAGTCCTGAGTAGAGAGGTAGTATGATCTTTGACAGTACTACAGAAAGACCAAATTTGAAATTAGAGACTGTGATCAGAAAACCAAGTGACCAGATTCTTAAGTGAAGGACACACTAGCCAAACCGCCAGGCCACCAACTAGAGAAAAAAGATATGTACTCTAGAAGCATATACTAAAGGAAAGAAGACTGTAAGGCACCTAAAGCCTGGGCAGACTAACTCTTTCAGGTTGCTAGCTAGAAATAAAGAAGAAACTAGTAAAGAATTCAAGAAAGAAAAAAAGTCTAAATATAGATACTAAAGTCATGTAAACCTTATAAAGATGAGAAGTATATAATGAGCAAATAATTAGAAAGGTTGTGGCTTAAGTAGCTATAGAACAGTAGCATCTTAAAAGATGGTATAAGATACAAACACAGTGTAGCAACACAGCAAGACTAGTTAGAAAGAAGTTACCAAACATGCAGGTAAATACATGTGTGGGATATAGACTATTCTGTTACATTAGCAAAATATATAAATGTAATCTTACATAAGAAATTACAGACCATAATATTGTACAATAATTATGATTGATGCGCAATATTGTGCAATAATCAAAAATGTAATATTATACAAAAATATTATGAAATATTATGTAATATATTAAAAAAAAATTTTAATCTATGCTAGAATATTTCAGATAATTTCGAAACAATTCGCAACAAATCGCAATAATTTGAAATAATTCAAGAAATTTAAACAAACTTTATAAAATAAATAACTAGTAATTTGAAAGTTGTAAAATTCAAATTAATATAATTTATTTCAATTTATTTAAATAAATAAAAAAAAATACTAAAAAGTAATACACTAAATTTTTATAGCGAATTATAGTAAAATATTTCGAACTATTTCAAAATAGTTTGAATTTTACTAAATATATAAATTTATATATAATTATAATTGCTTAAAACTATAACTTATTTTATTTGTTGCACTCCCAGACAGCAGGTCTAGAGTTCGAATTCCATGGATAACGATTTTGAAAATACTAGATATGTATCGATTAACGTTAAAATTATCAGTTGGATCTAGATATCTGTAATCTTGGTTATACCATCTCGAATGGGAGCTTTGATGCAATAAATCCAGGAAACTGAAATTACTGAAAACCTATTTGGCAAGTCTCGAGTAGGAAGATAGTATAATCTTTGACAGTACTACAGGAAGACCGAACTTGGAATTGGAGACCAAGACCAGAGAACCAAGCGACCAGGTCCTTAAGTGGGGAGACATACCAGCCGAACTGCCAGGTCGCCAACTGGAAGAAAAGAACATGTGCTCTGGAAGCATATACCAAGGGAAGAGAGACTGTAAAGCACCTAAAGCCTGGGTAGACCGACCCTTCTGGGTTGCCGACTAGAAGTAAGAAAGAGACTAGTAAAGAATCCAAGGAAGAAAGAAAGTCTGAATATGGATACTGGGGTTGTGCAAACCTTACAAAGGCAAAAAGTACGTAATGGATGACTAATTAGAAAGGTTGTGGTTTGAAATACAGATTGGGTTATAGCAGTATTCTAAAGGATAGCTTGAGATACGAACCTAGTAATAGTAGCACAACAGGTACTAGTTAGAAGGAAATTACTAAACATGCAGGTATAAACAAGTGTGGGATATAGACTACTTTGTTAGATTTACCTTGTAGATAGATTAGCCAGAAATGATTAGTAAGTTCTAAGATGTGTGTGAAATCTATAGGTGTCGCAAAAACCTACATATAAATAGTGAGTTACACCTTGGTTAGCTTAAAAATAGATAGCAGTTGTGACCAGAAGGTTTAAATAGATATCTTTATAGTTGGGATGCAGGTACGGCAGCTAGTGTGGAACCTAGGGCAGACTACTTAAATAGGCAACCAAAAGTTGCATGTATGGCTAGTCGTACTCTTATTAGTAATAATTAGAGAGCTTAAATAGGTAATCTCCTAGTTAGGTTGCAGGTATGGCAGCTAGTGTAGAACCCAGGCAGACCACTTAAATTAGGTACCAAAAGTACACGTGTGGCTTAATGTACCCTTATTGTAACTGTATAACCTGAAGTTAATAAGTCTAATAAAAAGTCCCCGGCCATAAAGGTCACCTTAACGCCAAAAAAAAACAAACAAAATATAATAGATTATTAAAATTTGTTGCTCTTAATTTACTAGACATCATTAAGGTATAGTATAATAATATTTGTTTAAATTATGAAAGGTTTATCTAATAACTAAAAGTAAATAGTTCTATAGGTTGTATATATATATACTATTTTCTAATAAATACATTAATTATTTACAAAAAAAGTAAAAATTAAAATCTATAAACCTATCTATAACTTGTATTCATTAAAATCTAGTTTTTATTTCTATAATATTAATTAAAAAATAATAAAATATTTTGTACAATATAACTTAGAAAAAGATATTAATAAAATAATATATAAGTTAATACAAAATTAATTGATTGAATATTAACTTTATACAAGTAATGTAACAGGTTAAATTCACGAAATGATGATCGATTCAGATATAATAGTTTTAGTAACAATTACATACAAGAAACAAAGATCAATTATAATCAGGTTCATAACAAGAAAGCAACTAATAAACAATCAGGTAAAAAATTAAAAGAAGAAAACTAGTATTTATAGTGCTTATATGATATGATCACGATTATCGATCATGATCGTGCACTGGAAATTAATGATATAAATAATGGCAATATTAATTAAGCAAGGTTGTAGTTAGAGAAATTAATTAGTAATACACATAATAAATATAGTCATAGTCAAATAGTTAATTTGTAAGATTCTATTGTATATAAGGCATATAAAAGGGGAGCAATTAGTAAATAAAGATTCTTACTCTTCTTTTCCGCAATAAATAAAACTACTTCTTAAGTAATGAACATGTTTATCTACATGGTTACATTTGGTAGCAGCAGACAAAATTTTTAAAGTATTGATTACTTTAATACATCCACAAACGATTGAATTGCCATGTCTCAACAACAATTCAATGAGTTTGTTGAACATTTTATAACGAACTAGAAAAATGTTAATACACAACTTACCCAAATCCTTCAACAACAAAATGCCCAAGAATGAACTGTAGTTAAAGAAGTGACTTATGTTTAGGCACTATTACAAGCAAAAGATTTAAAAGTTCAACTGCTGGTGTTTCAAGGGAAGAAAAAGGAAAACATTGTGATGTAGCTACTCCAAGTTGACTTACTGTATAAAGCACATAAGATAGAAGATGAGGAACAGTTACAGTATATAATAATCGGATTAAAGGATATGGCACTTCAATGGCATCTTAATAAGGTTCAGGCTCACGAAGCACAGAGTCCGTTCAAAGATTGAAAAAGTTTTGCAGATTAAATAAAGCAGGTGTTTCAACCCCCACAATACTAACAGTACTTGAGACAGCAATTGAGAAATATTAAACAAATCTCAATAGTGCAGGAGTACACCTCAAGGTTCAGGAACATTTTGGGTCAATTAGAATGAATAGATATTGTGGATAAAATACTTAACTTCATAGAAGGCTTGAAACCAGCAACTAAAGCCAAAGTCAGTTACTGAGTATTTAAAAGTCTTGAGGATGCAATATGTTTAGCAACGACATATGATACAGCAATGTATGTTGTGGTAGAATGGGAAGTCTAGTCTCCAAAGAAATTAGAAGTAATGGCTCCAAAGCTAGCAGTCCAGGAGATAATGAAATAGTACTAATGGAACTCGATAGGACCAAAGTGAGAAAATTTTATGAAAAAATAAAAAAGAGTAAACAATTATAAAAAATATGAGAAAAAAGAAGTATAGACAAAATAGGCTATGTTTCAAGTGTGGACAATAGAGCTATATGGGATCTTTGCTAGAATTTTTTTTTCTAAAAATAGATTTATTAGTTTTTCTTAATAAAAATCCTGTGTAACAATAGCTTGTAGAGTTATTTTTTTTAGCAAAGATCCTATATAGCAAAAACATGCCTCAACAAGCAAACCTCAAACCCCAGGACTTCTTCAAGCACAAATGCTAATGTTAAGCAAGCCAACTCGATAGAAAAAGAAGTTAGTGTTTGTAGTAAAAAGAAAGAAAAACTCCTATAGGTAAAAGAGAAGATCAGTAAAAAAGACACCTTAATCTTGATAGATTTTGGTGCCTCTAAGAATTTCATTACCGCCCAATTTGTAGAAACATATCAATTAATCATCAACAAAAGCGTAGAAGAAAAGTCAGTAGTAGAATTAGCTGATAGGATAACTTGTGAATCACGTGGCTATATATTAAATGTGAAAATTTAGATATACTCTTGGAAGGAATATAGGAATAGAATAGAAGTCTTACCATTACAAAAGTATAATGCAATATTAGGAAAGCCATGTTGTATGACTATAATTCTCGAATAAATTGGAAAACAAATAAAGTCTCTATATGGAAGGACCAAAAGGTGTTTAACATTAATGCTAATACTAATGAAAAGCCTATCAAATCTGCCACAGTAATGATTTTGAAAAATCAGTTGGCCAAGAAAGCTAAACAAAATGCTAAGCTGTTTGCAGTATTAACCGTAAACACCCAAAATACAACAGATGATAAAGGAATTAATATTCTGGAACTCCTAAAGAAAGTGGTAGACAAGTATCAAGATGTTTTTTCAGAGAAGTTACCAAACAACTTATCTCTGAAACGAAGTGTTAACTATTAAATTACTCTTCAAGAAGGTGTAACACCTCTGTTCGGCTCTATTTACAGGTTATCATTCTATGAATTAATGGAATTAAAGAAGCAGTTGGATGAATACATAAAAAAAACATCCTAGTATATCACCTTACAGAGCCTGATGCTTTTTGTAGCCAAGAAGGATAGTAAACTTCATATATGTATAGACTATAGGGATTTGAATAATGCTACAATAAAGAATTGATACCCTCTTTCTTGTGTAGACAATTTGCTAGATCAGCTCACTGGTACTGTAATTTTTAGTAAAATTGACTTGTGATCTAGATATCATCAGATACAAATTAATGAAAAGAATATTAAAAAGACAGTGTTTCATACACGATATAGCCATTATGAATTTTTAGTAATGCTGTTCAGTTTGACAAATACATTAGCTTCCTTTATACATTTAATGAATGATATATTCCTAGGCTTTTTGTAATAATTTATCTCAATGATATTTTGATTTATAGCAAATCATGAGAGGATCATGTAAAGCACGTGACTAGGTGTTAAAGTTGCTTCGAAAGATTTAACTATAAGAAAAAATTAGCAAATGTGAATTTGGAAAAACCAGTGTTGAATTTTTAGAACACATAGTGTCCTCAGAATGGTTTATGACTGATTCTAAGAAAGTAGAGGTGGTCAAAGCATGGAATGTACCTCAAAACATACATGAACTTCATTCCTTTTTAGGATTAGTAAATTACTACTAGAAATTCATAGCTAATAGTTCCCAATTAGCAATACCCCTTATGTTACTTTTACACAAAAATCAGCTATACAAATGGGAAGTTGAACAAGATAACGCATTCAAAGCATTAAAAAATGCACTAGTTAGTACCCTGGTTTTAGCAATGTCCGATCCTGAAAAACCATTCATGGTGACAACAAATGCCTCTGATTTTGCGATAGGCTCTGTATTAAGCCAAGACCAAGGAATTGGTAAACAACCAGTAGCGTATGAGTCAAGGAAAATGATCTCTGCTGAAATGAATTACCCCATCTATGAAAAAGAGCTTTTGGCTATAATTCATGCTCTAAAAACATGGAGAGTTTATCTAGAAGGTCAACCTTTTACAATTATAACAGATCATGCATCACTTAAATATATAAATAACCAAGCAAAATTATCGTGAAAGCAAGCGAGATGGGTGGAACTGCTGCAATCGTATAATGTTAAAATTAAATATAGGCCGGGTAAAACAAATACTGTTGCTGATGTATTATCCTGAAAGCCAGAAGCCAATGTTATTTCAACAATTGAAGTTAACCCAGAATTTTACAATACAATTCGGGAGGAGTATCTAAAGGATAAACATTTAAAACAAATAAGGAATGCATTAAAAGTTAAAAATAGTGATGATGCCAAATATCTAAAGCATCAAATACGATGATACAAATTAGAAGAAAATAGATTATTCTATCTAGCATGGTTAAAAATCCTATAATTGGCTAAATAAAAATAAATAGAAATAATACAAACAAAATAAAAAATTATCCAATCTAATTTCAGATCTTAATTTTGATCTCGTGAAATTAAGATCCAAAATTGGATTAAACAATTTTTATATTGTCTTTATTTATTTTATTAGCCAATTAGAGGATTTTTATCTATACTATTCTATCTGGTAAAAGATTCAGAAAATCTACAGTTATGTCTAAGTCACATGTTAAGGTTAAAGGTGACAATAATGTATGAACATCATGATATTAATGAACATCCAGAAATAGATTATATGTATAATATCTTGAAGCGATTGTATTATTAGAAGAAAATGAGAAAAGATGTATGAAAATATATAAATAGTTATGAAAGTTGCCAGCACAACAAGCCATCAAACCATGTAACTGCCGAGTTGTTGCAACTGTTAGACATTTCAAACCAACCTTGGGAACAAGTTTCAATGGATTTTATAACTTATTTGCCACTTACCAAGGAAGGTCACAATGCAATTATAGTTGTAGTGGATAGATTTAGCAAAAGAGCTATTTTATCTCAACACGCTTGACATTCACAGCACCAGAAGTAGCAAAATTATATTTTTGCAAAATTTTTAAGAATCACAGTTGTTACGTGGAATAGTATCAGATCAAGACCCAAAATTTGTAAGCAAATTTTGAAAAGAATTGTTTAAATTACTGGGCACAAAGTTGTATATGTTCTCCGCAGCACACTTACAAACAAATAGACAAATGGAATGAATTAATAGAATATTGGAAACCATGTTATGAATTTATATCAACTATGACAAGACAATTAGAACCAGTTATTGTTAGTAGTAAAATTTGCATACAACAATGCTCAGCAATCATCAACTGAATTTACTCCATTTCAACTCGATTATAGCACCATATTGATATAAATAAACACGTAGTTGCATTCTACCGCGTCTGTTCAAATTTAGTAAATGCAAACAATGCTGATCTTTTGGAGAGGGTAAGCTATTTTGCCCACTTTTTGTCAAAAATTTTTGTAAGACTGGTGGAGAAGTGGGAAGGAAGAACAATACTTATTTCATTTTAAAGAGTGTAGATTTTTTTTACTAAAAGTAATAGCAATTTATAGTTTCTATTAAGACTCCTATTGGAGCTGGCATGCAAATACTTGTTTTTTCTGTAAGCGATAAACTCTAAACTTATTTGCAAATAGCATATGAAAACTATTTCTAAATGACAGGCACTGCACCTGTAGTAAGTAATAAACTTTAAGACTATTAGCAGGTAGCATATGAGAACTATCTCTAAATAATAGTTGTCATTTTATAGTTTTTCTTTGACTTATAATGACACTACTATACACACTTGTGTTTTTTAGTAATAGAGTTTTTTGAAAATTTTTAGTACAAGTAATTATTGGAAAGAGTTATGACTATATATTTTTCTAGTAAATATTGTTTTATAAAAAAAAGTTCTTGTTGTTATAATTATATAGTTAATTACTAGCAATTGATAAATATTAGACTACTATTACTTATAATACAAAGATATTTTAATTCATTTAAAATACTTTCAACAAGTTGTTTAATTTTTATATATTCTTGATTTAAAAGTGTGTTTAATAAATAATATTATAATAAAACTTTAAACCATAAAATACTTTTTTGAAATACAGCTTTAATATCTTCATTTTCAATAATATTAAATAACATTTCAGCTGAATAAAAAGCTTGTACTAAACCCAGGCAGACTACTTAAAATAGATAACCAAAAGTTGTACATGTGGCTAGTTGTACCTTAATTGTAATTGAAACTTAACTTTTAATAAAAAGTTATGACCAAAGAGGTCACCTTTAATACTGAAAGAAAAAGCTTGTACTAATAAATTTTCTAATTTTTTCTAATCATCTTTACTATGTTTATAGGCTAATTCATCTTGAATATGCCATTTTTTTTGAAATTTTATTCTACTATTATCACTTGAAATAGTATTTATTCATTCTTCTTCAATTAACTTTTTTTGGTAATTAATATATTTTTCAAGATGATTTTGAAGTCTTGAGGCATTCATAGCATATTTAGTATTACAATGTTTGCAACAATACTTTTCTGGTTCATTTGGATTATCTTTGACTAATTCAATTTCAAGTCAAAAAATACCTTTTTCTCGTGGCATTATTAAACAATAAATTTCCGATAGTATAGTTTTACAATAGTATAATGTTTATCTTTTATATAGCAATAGTATTTTAAACTATTTATATTACATTATTATTACCATTGATTACTAATACTAAATTGGTTAATTAGGGGGTTTCTAAGTTAAAACAGATAAACTTATTTTATTTTTCCGATTTATAATTCAACATAGTAAAAATGCTATTGAAAAAATTCTAAATGCGTCGCTTATTTGTTGATTTTGAAACCCCAATTATTAAATAATTAGTTCTTATAATGGTAACTTACTATTTGTAACTTATCGGTAACTTACCAGTGTAAGTTACCATGTAAGTTACTACTAACAATCCTGCCCCCCATCTCTTAAGTTCCCCCCAATAGAGGTGACAAATTAGCCGGCATAATGGTCGGCACGGTGATCGAAATTTTTCGGTTATATTCGTGATTTTTCAGTATAATATATGTTTATTTTTTATGGTTGTTTAATTTTCCTCCCTCCCCCATGAATACGAAAAAAAATGCTAAACGAAATTTCAACTGCAAGCGGCCTTATTAAGCAACTCATATTTGGAGCAGTGATAGGTAACAAATAAGATAACAAATGCCTTTGTTGATTTATGGGGCGATGTAAAAAAAAAAAAAGATTTATATCTAGACATATTTTATCGATGTATTAATAGGCGAATGCCTGATATAAGTGAAGTAATTATGTATATTCTGATGAATACTTTTCTTTTTTCGTATTTTGTAACAAAAATAGTTAAAATGCTATAATTATAGAATTTAACAAGAATTGGTTATCTACTTGACAGAATGAACCAACCCAAGCAAATTTATTAGGTTAAATTACCTTTTATTTAAAAGAACAAAGATAACTAATATTTCAATATATATTATTTTTTATATATTTAAAAACTGTTTAGTTTTAAAAGTTAGTCAAAAAGAACTCTTCCTGACAAATGTTATTAAAAACTCATTAGACTAATAGTGTTGTCAATACGCCACTGCTCTTAAGATAATATCAGCTTTGTCACTTCATTAAACCAATTATTAATTTAGATATATCAAAATTATTAATCAGCGAAACCGTCTGCATAATCATATTCTAGTTTATTTTAAATAATTAGAAATAAATAAAAAAAATAGTAAGAAATTTAAACAGCCATTCTCATTAACTAATAACTTGTTAATTTAATCTAATATTTAATCAAATACAGTGACTTCGTTATTATAAAATCCTCAATCTCTCATACTATATTTGATTAGTAAAGGTTTTTAAAAATAAATTCTACCATTAGGTCAATTAATTAACGGCAAATAATGAACTATTTTTGAGTCAAAAATCGAGTAATGGGCATTATGTTTTATTGGTAAAATAGGAAACATATTACTTAGGTATCATACTTATGGCCGATAGGTTAAACGTTTGGATGTTTCGATATCAATCTGATTAAAACATCAACTATTTCGAGTTAGTAATTTTTAAACAGACTCTTGCTATTATGACTCATGAAATTTATTATTATCATTATTTAGCAAATTCTAGGCAGTATGACGAGCAAATTTTTCGCATTCTTTGTTATAACATCGCTAACCCCTACATTAACTTTCGTTATATCTGATTGAATTTCTAGAATAGAGTCTGATTAAAATACCATCACTTAGCTTAATCTTCAGCCAACCACGTAGATAATTCTAAAAAATTATTGCTCTTATCAAAACTGATCGAAGTTTAAATAGCTCAAGTTAAAAAAACAAAAAAAAAAAATTTGCAAAATGTATAAATAGGATACGGAAACAACCTTGTCTTTTCAAGTTCTTAAAGACTTTACACTAATTACTGAATAAAATGTCACGTCGCACAACTTTCGCATTTTACATTCTAGTTGCTATCACATTTATCATACTCGTTAGTTCCGCATCGGTGAATGCTTTTGTCGAAAGTTCTGATCTTGCCTACGAAAATGATGACGCCGATATCTCTAATATGCCCTATCAAGATTTAGAAACTACCGTTCCTGACAAGATCGACGAATCAACAAATGAATTCTCAAACACCGAAAATGAAGTCTCTCAAACGTTAAGACATCATAGAGAATTCTTTAATTGTATTATTTATTGTTATACTAGTTTATCGACGGGGCATCGTCCTTTTACACAATGTGTTGAAACCTGTATAGTCAGTTTCAGAAGAACAGCTTTAAATAGATAATGTTAAATATACATAATTTCGCATATTGAAATATGTTAATATTTAGAATAATTGAATTGCTTTTGAGAATTTCGTTAGAAATAAAAGATTTTTGCTTGTAGCGAAACATAAATATTTTATAATCTAATCAGTAATTTAAAAGAAAAAGAATCTATTAAAATCTACAGAATCTCAGATTTCGCACGACTTTGTGATCTGTAGAGGTTACATCTTTTTGCAAAGCGCAATAATTATTTCATTTTTGTAAAATTCGACATCTTTAAATTGTCTTGGATGGATCATAATATAATTTAGTCTTTGCCTTTTTTAAAACCTTATTGAATGATGGGATTTCGCTTTATTTAAATTCTTATTAGACAGAATTACACATAATTAGGTCCTTTCTTTATTTAAAATCTCAGTGACAGGTTATATGTTATTAAGTCATTATTTTCTTCTGATTCTTATTAGCTTTAAACAATCATCAAATAGGGTTTCGATATGTTTAAATTTTGGATGTTTTAAATTTTTATCGAATATATTTATGCATAATTAATATTAATTCTCGGATTAGGTCTTATTAGTTCATCATTTTCTTTAAATAGGATCTATTTTTGATTATTAGTTCCTAATTTTTTTTATTCTATTTTTTGGACATGACTCAACATTGTTAGGCCCTTGGTAAGCTTCGATTATTAATTCTTCACTTTTTTTTATAATTCTTGTTTTGATAATATTAGGCCACGCAAAGTTGATTTTTCGTTTTTTCATAACCCACTGACTAGTGATGGTAAAAAAAAAAAACGGGTTAACCAGCTTTTTAAATATATTTTTTTAAAATATTGAAGTCTGAGATAAAATTTTACTGAAACTGAAATGCTTTTGATTAATTAATATTAATTTTCAGCTGAGAAAATTTTTTTTTAAAAAGGTGTTGCTATATAATTTCAAATTTATCAAATATTACGTAAAAAAATAAAAAAATTAATATACAGTATTTGTTCACTTTAATTTTTATCAAAGCTGTCAATCGCTATTATTCTATAAATGTTAAATTTGCTTGTCGCCAATACAACCTTTCATTCTATATTAGTTTTACATTTGTTGGTATTGAAAGCCCAAGGTTTACAATATTGCCACTATGTAATGAGTTTTTCAAATGAATTATTTGAAGAACCAGAATCCTATTTATTTGAGATTTTAATAAATCTTATTTATTTCTCAGAGATTTTTTTACATTTTAATGAATGACCTTTTAAATGGTCAACTAAATAAACACAGCCTTCTTCGCAATAATTACACTTTGGCGAGGTGTTGTTCGATCATGTTATCAGGCTCAGCAACTTTTATAAGCCTTAAACAGCCTTCTTTTGGCGAGGATCTTTCACGAACATGAGACATTGTTTTGATGAAGTTTATTATTCGATTTTTTATTTATTTATTTTTATTTTTTAACTCCTTTCAATCGTTCTTTGTCCGCATGTCGTAGATCGTTTCCAATAAAGCTTAAGATTAATTTATTAGATGCGACCTTACTCGTGATCCGCCACATTTCCTTTTAGGTTAAAACGGAAAGGATTTTTGTCAAAAAATTTTATTGTCCGGAGCGGACTCATACGTACTTCTACGCTCAGTGATAACCAAAACTACGTTTTTGATATGTTTACATCAAAATTATCAAAAACGTAGTTGTGGTATTTTCCGTCTGTAACGCCCCTGAAAAACCTGATCTGCGACATGCACAAACTAGATTTTCAGGGGTTGAGGCAATTAATCGAATATTTTAGGCTCCGGACTTATACCGGTTTCCGGTTCCTAGTATATAGCTAATTCATTTTTCTATTAAAATAACCTGCCTTTATTTTCTAAGTTGTTTTACATATAATTATTATTTTAAAATTAAATTTTTATTTTTGATAAAGTTGTATTTTTAAAATATGTAAAAATAGCAAAACTATAACTTGCCAAATAAAGCAAAAAATTTCTTTTTTTTATACTCTATATAATTATATAATTTAATATATAAGTTGAAAAACATCAAAGCTGCAAAGTTTATAGTAATTTTATATATTTTTTATTATAATTTTATATAAAAAATTTACATATAACATCATGTAACTGATATTGATTAGGCTGTCCAGAATTATGCAATAGCAGAAATTTGCAGTTGAAATGAATTTTATTATTTTTAATAAATTATAATTTCATTTTAAACTATTATAAATTTGTATATTAGAACTTTTTAAAAACCAGATTTAAAGACCAGGTCCTAAAGTCCCGGACCTAAGGACTTTGCCAACCCTAATTACCATCGACTTGTTTTACCGGATCTATTACCAAAAAATGAATAAAATCGACATTATCATTTACCTTGCTTAAGTACAAACTCACTTGAAATCACAGTTAATTACTTACCAAAATAAGGATGTTCCATGGCTTCTTGGGGCGTCAGTCGTTCCTGTAATAAAATAAATAATGATATCAATCAACTTTCGACGACTTAATTTTTACAGTTATTTATAAAAGCAACCTGATGATCATATCGCAATAATTTATCAAGAAAATCAATAGCTTCTTTGGAAACAAATTTTTGGTTTTCGCTGGTGATAAATTTATTCCATTGCTTCCGCGGATACCTAGCCAAAAAATAAACGAAGTTAATTATAAACACATTAATAGTAAAATAAGTACATATGATTACAATACCTTCCCAAAATATCATCATATTGAGTGTCCAATTCTATGTCGTACTTATCAAGATATGCAAAAAGCTCATCTGTTCCAAGTACTCTAGCAATTTTTACTAATTGATCATAATTATCATGCCCGTGAAAAAAAGGCTCTTTGCGAAAAATCTAGTGAAGTTAAATTAGATCAGAATAATACAACACATGAATAAAATGGATTAACATATACAACCTTACCATACTGGCAAACATGCAACCCAAACTCCACATATCAAGGGAATAATCATATTCTTGAAAATCAACTAATAATTCTGGTCCTTTAAAATATCTAGACGCAACGCGTACATTATATTCGGTTCCTGGGTGGTAGAATTCTGCTAGACCCCAATCTATAAGCCTCAACTAATATCCAGTGAAATAAATTAATGACTTTTACGTTTTTATATTTATAGTTATAACTAATGCTGAAGTTTAGCTGAAGCTGAAATTAATGAATATTATATGTCAATTAGTGTCGATCAGTTAGTTTTATTATTCAGTTCAGCTTCAGCTAAATTTCAGTATCAGCCATGACATTATTTATCGTGAAAAAGGAATTCGAGAAACTTTACCTTACGCTTTTCATGATCGATCATTACGTTATGTGGCTTCACGTCTCTATGCATGATACCTTTCGAATGACAATAATCTAATGCCTATGTGACAATTTAAAACCTCATTGGAATTAACATCAGTGAGAGATTATAAGCGTTTCGAACGACTAAACATAGAGTCAATTGTATACCTTCAGAAGTTCAAACATATAGTAGCGAACATCATAATCAGTAAATTTAGGATACAACACTTTGAAGTCTGTGTTATTTACATATTCGAAAACGAGAGATGGAGTCTTCGACTAAAAGGAGAAAAATTCCATTAGTTTTCTATATCAAGAATTAGCAATGATTTCTATATATTTAAGTGTTTCTCGCGGTTTCTATTGGCAAGGGTATATAATATCACAAACATAATTACGACTGATTCGTTAATTACCTGGGGATCTCTCACGACGTCCAAAAGTGAAATGATGTTTGGTCCGCCAGCCAAATTTTGTAAAATCTTAATCTCTCGCTTGATCTTTTTCTTCTTTACCGGTTTAAGAACTTTAATCACACATTTTTCGTTGTTCATGATGTTGACCCCCTCAAACACTTCAGAATATTTACCACGACCAATCTTGCGTACTATTTCATAATTATCTTGTACACTAAAGTTTGGGAATTACGAAAATCCTTCAATTAACAAAGATAAGCATATATCCCAGTGGGTTGATGATGGATCTTATATGTATCTGAAACTAAGTTCAATACGAAAGTCGAAAATAAAGACACGTTACCCCCACGAAACCTGTAAATTATCTGTGATGAATATGGTAATCAATGAACAAGAAGTTAAACTTATGCCAGATCTTTCTAGTATAAGAAAACTATAACCTCGACAAACAAGGCACCTACCATAATCCCAATACTCTCGAGGCATACATTGATTAACATTGGCATACGCGCGGGCCACGCTAGTGTAAGACATTATTCGACTCGTAAACGTTTAACTTAACGCATACGAAATTAAATCAGATGATACTAGTTTAATCTTGGCAAGTGTAAATGTTGCCGACTTTTATATTAATTAACACAAGTTTTGCTAGTTTTAATGCTATACGAAAACTCAACAAGCAAAAAAGCGTTTTTTTTTGGTGAAACTTTTTTTTTGACTCATTAATTCGATATTGGACATGACGCAAGATCTCGGAATATTAAGGATCGGCATATCACGGGAGCATACCTAATGCTAACGCGTTTTCTATCTTGGCCAAAGTCATACTTTTTTGGGGAACGTTTAAAGCTATACATGTTGGCAAAATCCCGACTTACTATAGTTTGGGATTTGTCCATCATCCCAAATCCCAAATTCTAGCAAAG